TCCAGGGATCGAGTCCCGCATCAGGCTCCCTGCTCGGCAGGGAGTCTGCTTCTCCCTCTGACCCTCCTCCCTCTCATGCTCTCTGTCTCTCATTCTCTGTCTCTCAAATAAAAAAAAAAAAAAGAATAAAGTTATAGATGCAATAACCACCAGAATAAGAGACATGGTCATGAGATCAGAATGGGACTGGGGTGAGGAACAGGGGAGGCTATTGCTTTGTATCTCAAGTGCTCTCATGTACTATTTGATTTGTTACCAAGTAGGAATATTACTTGGATTAAATCTTTTTCGCTCAAAAAAAAAACCAAAAACAAAAAAACCCCCAAACCCACAACCTTTACATGAGGTCACGTATAATGTGGCTACTGCATGGTACACACAAGCACTCTGATCCACAAAGGTCACTTGCATGAGTGCAGTAAATGCAATCACCTCTCCCAGAGTCTGGCACAGCAGGTATTCACCAAATACTGGTTACGTGCACGCCCTGCCTGCCTCCTCTTAACCAGAAAGTAAACCCTAAATTGTACTAGTGATGCTTTGCGCCTGTCTTCCCAGTCTGCCCTTCACAATATTCAATCTGGGAAATTATTAATGATCCAAGATTTAACTGGACACGACTATGGTCCATATGTGAGAAAGAAAGAAGATCTGAACACTGATAAACAGTCCTGCTAAGACGAAGATTAATATTCTAATATCTATCCCAACTTATTTTCCTGACTGAAGAGTGAGGACAGGAGTGATACACACAGCCCCCTCCTTTGGGAGACTATAGGGGAAGGATCTGTTAAACCTGTGTGTTTCCACGTTACTCTGGACCTCTCCATCATAGCACTTACCAAGTGGTACCACAGTTACTTCAGCCTGCCTTCCCTGGCAGCTGGGGATGAACACAGCCAACTTAGTTGTGTCTAAGCATCTTCCGCTGACCCAAGCACCCAGCATAGTGCAGGACAAGTGACAGGCAACTGATGCATACATACTGAACCAATGGGTATTTATTAAGCTCTTAGCACTTTTGAAGGAGGGGTAAAAACACTTGGGCAGGAACTGTTTGCACTAAGTTTAAAGTCCAACGCCATTATCAGATTCACAATATTGTGGGTTTTGTCCATTTCGACAGGTGAGTCAGTGTATTTTCCTAACTAGGAAAAGCAGACTGCAACAATGCAAGCAGATGCGATCTATCATTTCCAAACCTGTTCCAGGCAAATAAGTAACTTCTCCCTTAAATACCGCTACACTGGAAACAGTTCAACTTCCAAGAAAAGTCAAACTTAAAATACACATGAATCCACCAAGAAGACTAGCCCAGGAGAGTTCACTGAAATGCTATCTTACCTACTGTTTCCCTAATAGCTGGGATTTCAGGAGGAAATGGTAGCATTTTCCTTAGCTTTACAGAAAAGATTTCACAATGAAAAAGCAGCACCACCACCGTGGTGTGCTGGCCACTGCTCTGAGCGCTCCCTGGGCTGACTCACGGGGTCCCCAGAAAGACTCCCATGAAGTAGGCACTGTTTCCCACATTTTTCGGGTGAGGAAATGGGGCAAAGGAGACTGTAGTACTTGCTCAAGGTCACCCACAGGGCTAGAATGCAGGCAGTGTGGCTCCAACTCGGACATCATTTCCCACCTGCCAATGGGTAAGGCGTTCCGGATGATCCTCTGGCTGCCTCGGGTATATTCAATATCCACTGTGATGGGGGCAGAGTACGTCATGTCCCGCAAACGGCACTGAAAGACAACCAGACAGTCACTGCTCCTCCTGCCTGGAAAAGAAAGGGTCCTGAAGCCTCCAAGAGCTCCATTCCTGGCAGAAGTATAGTCCACACTGAACTGAGCTGTTCCAAGTGCTGCCGTAAGGGCCCCAGGAGTGACAAGCCTGCCTTCTCCATGTGGGGAATGATGCCAGCCACTGACCCAGACACCCCCAGGGGATCTCTGCCCCGGCCAGCCCAGAAACGACACAATAACTCTGGTACTGACTGTCTTCTCGCTACCCGATGCCATCCCCGGTCTGCTCCCATCTTCAAAGCAATCAGATTGTTCCTTGAAAATTGGGTCCATGGAAAGTAATCAATGTGGTTACCTCATTCGAAAAGTTAACAGCCAGTATAATACCTAAAGTATACACATACACAAACTAAAAAATTTAAACTATACTTCCTTTTATTCTCCAAATAAACTAACTCTATCACGAAGTTCCTTCACAAGCGGTATCCTATAGCACAAATCATTCAACACATCCTATTAACAATTTCTGCATCATTTGGGGAATTTTAGAAACTACTGGTGTGTGCTTTAGTGAGGCGATGACTCGCTAAATGATGCCCTTACCTGAGCCATGATCAAACACAGCAAACCCCACCAAAATCTTGATGACCTCCCTGTTTTATTGATGGTCATCAGGTGGCTTGCATTCTTAAAAAGAGAATTTCTCTGAACATCGACCATGCATTTCATGGTACTGCATCCTCTGCCTTCAATTGAACCAAAGACAGATTTAAACTTTTTCTTTCTTTCCCAGTGCCTGGGATCTTAAAATATTAGATATCTCTATTAATGATGAGTGAAAATTGCTTATTTTATATTTAATTAGATTGAGCCTCAGTCTTCTGGCCACACCAAAGGTGATGTAGCACGGAGGTTCAGAGTGTGCACCCTGCCGCCTGGGCTCAAATCCTGGCTCTACCACTTAAGTTCTGAATAACCCTTCTGCGCCTTGGTCTCATCATATGTAAAGAGGGAATGGAATAATTTTAATTCCTAAGAGTACAAATATGTATTTTTAGAATAGTGCCTGGTAGAGGCACTACCTCTAATGTAATGCCCATGATGGGCAAATATTTGTGTGTTTCAACAAACTCCTCTCCTTCAAATGGAAATGAAATTTGACAGAGGTGGTAAAAATGGGGACCCTTTCCATGGGCCCCAAACTACCCCGTAAGGGCCTCTGGTCCCCCTCCGCCTCTCTGTCATCACAGGAGTGGGGCTGTGCTGGGGGATCTGCAGGGCCAGCACCTGCCACTCCTATCATGGGCCCCCTGACTGCCCAACCACCTGCTCTCCCACTCTCCCCGTCTCTCCAAGAATCAAAATCCCTCCAAGAAATCTTCGTGCCCTCTCTCCCTAACGGAAATAATGCCCATGTGTTTTCTCCAACATCAGGAAGAATGATTATGACAACTGTGGCCTCAGGCTTCTCGAACTACCTCAAAATACTTTGTCTTCTCTCTACTCTACACGTGGTAATATAATTCAGAAGATGACTTGGAAATTGCTAATTGGTGCCTAGTTCTTAAAAAATTGGAAAACTCCAGCAAAACGGACTGGGGAAGTGGCAAAAGTGAAAGTGGTTATTACACTTTCCAACATTCCAAACCTCGCCACTTCCTACTCAACACAACTTCCCTTCCCGCGCCTACCTCACCCTTCCAGGCATTCCAGTGAGCAACCCCTGGTGTCTGTTTCATGTGCTCTGTTATTTTACTCTCGCCACAGAGTATGAACTCCTTGAGGAAGGAGAGGGTCTCATTTCTTTTGTCTCTCTCAATGCTGAGGCACAAAATACATGTTCAACTGACACTCGATACTCCGTGATTAAGTAACACCAACATTTAGCTGTGTGAAATGTCTGGTTCCGTGACCATGCTTCCCATCTAACGTCGCTCAAACAACAACCCTAACATTCTAACAACTTATTGTTTAGTAAAGAAAGGTTCCTCTTCCATTTTCCCTAATTGCTTAACATTTTAGCTTTACGTTAACACAAACTACATAAATCTACAAAAATCATTTGTTTTCCTAAATCAATTCCAAATTATGGACACTAAGTGGAAGAATTTTCAGAGGAATCTAGAATGTGTTAAAAGCCAATAAACAAGCCTGTTCTATAACCCTTTGTCTGCAGCTCTGCTAAAATCCTGGTATTCAAATTTTCTTCCCATCCATGTCTTCTAACAGACTCTGAGCCCTGCCCTTGGTCTCCTCTGCCTAAAACAATGCCTGCTGACCCTCAAAAAATGTGCTCAGTAACCTCGGCAAAAGCACAGCACATGGTCCTAGGCACAAGTGGCTGGCTGGGGCAGGGGTGAGGGAAGGGCTGCTCAGAAGCAGGGACGCAGACAGGACACAGTTATATAACAGCCCACGTTAACTAGGATTCAATGACAAACTAAATCATGCTGAATTACTTCTAAATACAGTTATTATATAAATGCTAATTTATTTTGGTTATCTTTGTCTCATAGGAGATATTTTCCCTCTGTTTTTAAATCATTCTAAGAGCATATGTTAAGGGCAAAGACTCTGTGAGTTAAGGCAAACAAATTCAATTATGGTAAGGCAGATAATTACCTCATGAGGGGATACTGGTCTAGTTACATTGAAGCTTTCTTCAACATCAGGAAGTCCCACATAGATATTAAGATACCTGAAAAACAAATTATTCCATGACCAATTATACCGTTTCAAAGAATATATAAACAAACAAGCTATTTTCCTCCCAAATACAAGGATTATACTTTGACAAATACTTACCTTGCTAAGAATGACAAACAAGTTAAAAATTATAATTTGAGATCTTCTTGACGTGATAGTACATAGAGCTCTGCCAAGGAAGGAAAATACCATCAAAGTCTTTTTTAAGAAATTACTATAAATCTCTTTTTAAAAATACTGGAAAGATAGCTCTCTGAAGATAATATTTAATGAAAAGAGCTATTATTCATGTAAGAAAGAAGAGGTTATAAGGGGGGAAAAAATACAGCTCTTCCTTGACTTACAGCAGGGGTACAGGCCAATAAACCCATCATCAGTTGAAAAGACTATTAAGTCAAAAATTCATTTAATATACCTCACCTACCAACCATCAGAGCTTAGCCCGGCCCCTACCGTGAATGTGCTCAGAATAATTACATTAGCTTATATATGGGGAAAATCATTTAACATGGAGCCTGCCTATTTGAAAATAAAGTATTAACTACCTCATGCAATTCATTGAATACTGTACAGAGAGTGGAAAACAGAATGATTATGTGTCAGCTGTTGACCCTTGTGACTGGGGGGTTGGCGGGAGCTGTGGCCACACTGCCCAGGGTCACAAGTGGATTGTGCAGCATATTGATAGCCTGGAAAAATTCAAAATTCAAAATTCAAAGTACAGCTTCTACCGAATGGGTCTAGTTTTCACACCATCGTAAAGTTGAAAACTTGTTAAGTTGAACCACTGTAAATCAGGGACCATCTCTATGCACTCACTATGGCAAAAGAAATAGGAAGAAAGCAGAAACTAATGAGACTGGTGACCTACTGGGAGTGTCTGGCAAGAGGGTGGAAAGAATTGGAAGGGGAGTGACAACTTCCTGAAAATACTTTTTTCTATAGGTCTCTTACAATCACGTGTCACACACTCAAAAAGCAAATGCATAATTAAAATCGACCAGGACGCAGAAGGGGACCCAAAATGGAATACAAACGCCACAGCCTTACAAATGAGTAATGTGACTGCACTCAGAAGGTGGGAAAGGAAACGAGTCTGAGTAGCTTTGGAAACAGTATTTTGCTCAGATGCTATAGAGATAAAGACAAAAAAAGCAATATAGAGATATTGTACTCTACTTAGTAAATTTTATTCTCACAGAGGTTATCAATTAGGAATTCTGAAACTATGTATATTCTAGGACTGAATAAATAGGTACAAATAGTGTGGATAATGAGAGCTAGGTTTCTCATTTTAGGGATAGATCTTACAAAAAAGGAAAGAGGTCAGTTAGAATGAGTCCTGTGGAGCTGGACTGAAATAGGAGTTATCAGTATGCTGGTTTTTTATATAAAAACGGATAGCATATGGAAATACCAATGTATGCATGCATGTTAGTTATACACACGTTTCCTTGCTCCATCCACCAAGGCTTTAGTATCCCTATCTTGGTTTTTAAACACTATTGTCCAGAAAAGGAGACTAGCGCTCCCTGGGAAATGGCTGATTCCAGGCTGACACAGGGAAAAAACCACATCAACCACATCCCACGGCACCAGAAAGTAAAGTAGTGCTTGAAAATTACCTGGGGTGTGCTGAAAGGACACAGCAGTCAACTTGAAGACTCTTCAATGGCCAAAGCAGGGACAATTTGACCAGTAAAATGACACTATTGGATTACGATCCATAGATTAAAATATACATGAGTTTACATTAATATAAATAAAATTAAAGAGATATAGAAAAAGTTCTTCCCTCCAATAGAATTCCAGCACTAACGTACTAGGAATGATGGCAAGAAAGCCTCACCAAGCAGTAATTGTTATAAGAACCATCCTTGATGCTAAAATTAGTGGGTAAGCTATGTGCATAGTATCAAAGGATCTCCCCCGAAGACACTTATTACAAAAGGAAAAATAGGGGCGCCTGGGTGGCTCAGTTGGTTAAGCGACTGCCTTCGTCCGGCTCAGGTCATGATCCTGGAGTCCCGGGATTGAGTCCCGCATCGGGCTCCCTGCTCAGCGGGGAGCCTGCTTCTCCCTCTGACCCTCCCCCCTCTCATGTGCTCTCTCTCATTCTCTCTCTCTCAAATAAATAAATAAAATCTTTTAAAAAAAAAAAAAAAAAGGAAAAATAGTAAATTACAGTGGACAAAACCTGCATATACCACCTTAATCAAGTGAACAAAGGTAAAACCACCAAGAGTAGAATATGCTGAAACCTGTAACCACTGACACAATGCAGGGAAGATGGCACAAAACATTCTGTGCCAAAAATGCGTAAGCCAACTGAATCATGAGCAAACCTCAAACAAACCCAAATCGAAGGACGTCCTACAAAACAATGGATCAGAATTCTTCAAAAGTGTCAAGGTGATAAAAGACCAAGAAAGTATGAGGAACTGTCACAGGCTGGGGGAAGCTAAAGAGACATGAGAACTAATCATCATGTCGGGCTCTGGATTGAATCCTGGGCCAGAAAAAAGACATGAGTGGGAAAGCTTGAAACGAGACGTGCAGAGTGGTTGACAGTATTGTATGAGTGCTAATTGCCTGGGTCTGCTAATTGTGGTTTGGTTATGTAAGATGTTAATATTAGCACAGGCTGGGTGAAGGATAATATGGAACTCCTTGTACTATTTTGGTAATTTTTCTCTAAGTTTAAAATTGTTCTAAAAAATGTTTAAACCTAATAGTTTCAGTACCTCTCAAGCATAGCTCGTTATAATTAGTTTTTTTTTTTTTTAAAGATTTTATTTATTTATTCATGAGAGACAGAGAGAGAGACAGAGGCAGAGGGAGAAGCAGGCTCCCCACGGAGCAGGGAGCCCAATGCGGGACTCGATCCCAGGACCCTGGGATCATGACCTGAGCCGAAGGCAGACGCTTAACCGACTGAGCCACCCAGGCGTCCCTCGTTATAATTAGTTTACCAATTAAAAATTGAATACTTTTCTTATGAACCAGATAAAGACAGCTATTTTGATAGAGTTTTGGTAACAACCACATTCACTTTAAAAAATATTAGATGTAATCAAAGCAGCAAATCAATAGTAGCTGATTCCTTACTTTAGGTACCACATGGGGTCGGCATCGCTTGTGACCTTTTCGTTGGCTTTCATGATCTTCTTTATCTGCAGGGGAAAGAGCACCATTAGGAACATCTCTGGCTTCCATCAGTTCTAGTCTCTCTACCTTTTTTTTTTTTTTTTTAAGTAGGATCCACACCCAATGTGGGGCTCGAACTCACGACCCCGAGATCGAGTCACATGCTCTACTGACTGAGCCCGCCAGGCACCCCTCTCTGCTTCCAAGCCCTGCTGCTTACCTCCACGTTAATGAAATAGTTGAATGAATCTATATGCTGTTTTACAAGGCCTTTCACCTAAACACACAAAAAATACAAAGTAGGTTAGCAACAATACAGCATACTATGTCATAGACTCTAACCACACGTAACCTTCAGATTCTTCTCAAAACCAAAGTGAGAAAAAAAAAATCCACAAATATCACTTAGTAGAACTTTACATTTATGTGTGCTCATTCCATTTCTACTCCATCCTAATACACCCTCAAATTTTCCTCCTTGAGAATCAATCCGGCCCCTGGAATTCAAGATAGGGGTATTTGAACATACCTAATGACTCCCCATAAGCTAACAAATGAGGCAAGATTTTCTCTGAATACTTTGAACTTACAAAAATCCAAGAAACAAAATACAGCAATTGAGCATTGTTTCTTCAACCCTCAAAAACGCCTGTTTTCTTTTCTGTTTTACCCTATCCGGGCAATTTCAAAACTCAGATCACTTATAGAAGACCAAGGGGGGGAAATGAGGATCTTTATTAAGAAAACTGAAAATCACTGCATTTGAAATTGAAAGGCAGGTGAAACTCATGGAACCTAAGAGCAGACACCAGCCAGCAGAGACTGCCCTTTCATCTCAGAAGTCAAAGACAACCGTGCAGACATAGTGTGGTGTGCTATGGAAAACACTGAAACGGGGCGCCTGTGTGGCTCAGTCGTTAAGCGTCTGCCTTCGGCTCAGGTCATGATCCCAGGGTCCTGGGATCGAGCCCTGCGTCGGGCTCCCTGCTCTGCGGGAAGCCTGTTTCTCCCTTTCCCACTCTCCCCGCTTGTGTTCCCGCTCTCGCTCTCTGTCAAATAAATAAATAAAATCTTTAAAAAAAAAAAAAAAAAGGAAAACACTGAAACAATAACACAGGCTCCAAAGTGTTAGAATTTAGAAGGCCTGTACGTGTTTTTTTTTTTTAAATATTAATCTTCAAGCACAATGGGTTCAGCACTACTAGAACATTCCTAACACATAATCAGAGCCTTTGCTTTAGCTACACTTCCTTATTTAGGATCTCACTGGCTTACAAAACAACCATCCCATTTAGAAGCAGTCCTAATTACTGGGGAAAAGAAATTCAACCTTATATACTGATCTGATGTCTACCTTCCTCCAGTTTCCACCTCCTGGACTTAACTGTCCTTCTGGAGAGAAAGGCCTGCTCTTAGTCCGTTTATTTAAAATTCTCCTTCATGTTGTCACATTCAGGATGACCTATTCAACTATGTCTCACATGCATGCCTTCCAGACCCTTCCTTCAGCAGCAGATGGCCTGCTCCTGGGCGTGCTTCAGTTGGTCAATGTTCCTCCTAATATGGGCACACTGAACTCACTGACAAGGTTCTCGACAGTCTGACCAGCATACAATGGGGCTACTGCCTCCCTCATTCTGGATACCACACCACCACTATTTATTAAAAAAAAAAAATCAAGGCCACGTTACCGACTCATCAACTAAAACTCAAAAGGTAATGCTTATCTTCACAAAACAACGCTATTAAGTCAAACACAGCCAATCTGGTATTTGTACGAAACCAAGTACAGGGATTTACATTTGTCCCTCTTCACTGCTGTCATCTCAGCCTAAGAACTGAGTCTTGAGTCTGTTGGCTAACAGCGTTGGCAGCCTTATAAGCTTTACGTTTCTGTCTTTAGTTATGTATTAAAATCTTTATACCTTTATTCTTAGGCAAATATATTTCAAGGTGGTCTGAGTAAAGGAAAATCCCAACTTTGAGTGAATGAATGAATGAATGAAATGACCAGTCTTAAGTCTCTACTGAATTCTCACTCTCTTCTTGGACCGTGTGCCATCATTTGTCTCCTCTTTTTTGAATCATAAATACCACCCTTTCTCCTCTGCTTATATATACTTCCTTAAGAAAAAAAAGTTGTAACTAAAAAAAAAAAAACAACAAACAAAACCCTTCCCTTCCCTTCCCTTGACCTTATTACCATTTTATTTCATTCTTGGTCACTCTTCTTAAAACCCCTTTAACAGCTTCCTATTGCTGTTAGAAGAAAAGCCAACATCCTTAACGTGGCTTTCAAATCTGGCCAGCAATCTGGCCCTGACAGCCTCCCCAGAACCACAACCAGCACTCTCCCTTCTGCCTACAACACAGAACTAAGTCAGATAAGCCTCTACGGATTTTTCAGTCTCCATGCTTCCATTTAGCATGCTTTCAACATCCATCCACGTTGTAGTATGCATCAGCACTTGATCTCTTCTTATTGCCAAATAATAATCCACTGCAGAACCATTGTATGGATATCCCAGATTTTATTTATCCATCTGCCAGTTGATGGCCATTTGGGTTGTTTTTACTTTTTGGCTATTATGAACATGTGTTCACAACTTTTGTGTGGACATGTGTTTTCATTTCTCTTGAGTAAGTAGGAGCAGAATTGCTGGATTATATGGTAACTCTGTTTAACCATCTGAGGAACTGCCAGGCTGCTATCCAAAGCGGTTGCAATATTTTACATTCCCACCAGTAGGGTTCTAGTTTCCCCAGATCCTCATCAACATTTGTTTATTACCTTTCTCTTTGATTACTGCCATCCTAATGGGTGTCAAGTGAGCGATCACTGCGGTACACCCTACGTCTCAGCTTATGCTCTTTAAAAGTGAACTGAAGCCCTCCACTAACCTTATATTCAGCACTTCCTGTGACTATGCACTCATCCATTCCAGCCAAACAGACTGGTCACCGTTCCTTACAGACGCTGTGGAGGCTCCCCTTGAGTGCTTTTATCATGGCGTGCTCTCTGCATTAGACCTTTCAGCCTACTTAAATCCTGTCCTCCCAGGATGGGGTTTCCATCTCACCTCGTCTGGGAGACCTTCTCTGACCACCTGTGGCATCGCTCTTTTGCCAACCCCACTCTGCTCTGCGTATACTACTTCCTATCTCTAAAATTAGGTGACCACTCTCCCAACCAGCCCCTTACATGTGGTCAGGGAAACTGCCTTATAATTCCTTCTATTTCTAAAATAGAGCAAATTACAGAGTTGTGCAAAGTCAAAAATTATTAGTTGGTGATAAACACTTAATCTTTAAGAAAGACGAATTTAACTTTTTTCATTTGAAAAATAACCGACTATTATTAAATGTTAAACAAATTACCTTTAAAAACGCTGGAAGCAGCCTCCATTTTTCCTGCAAACCAAAACAACAGGGGTATCAGCACTCTGTGCCAGCAACCGCAATATTTTTATAAGAAGTTATTTTAATTTACCAAAAATGACTTACTTTATCACAGAAAGCAAAAGAAAAGTAAAACAAAATGAAAAGAACAATTTTAAAATTGTAACCACTTTTATGGAAATCCTAGATGTGTGTGGGTGCATTCAAATATATATATACACACACATATACCACCTATTTCTTAAACAGAATATACTTTAATCTTTTAATGAGTTAAGGTTCCAAGCACTTTTCATACATTATTTTATTGTCATGACACCTCCTGAGCAAGCTGGGTTTGCCAGTTTGAGACAGGGAAAGTTAGTTTCAGAGTCCTGGGAAGCTGGATCTCTTGGCCCAAAAAGAGTTCTTTCTCCTTCCCATTCTTTCCCAGCTAGTGTCTGGTCAAAGCTCATCTCATCAAAGGATCTGCTTTGATGAGGACTGCATACATGATGTTCATCTCCTACATTAAATACCTGCAAACTCACATACTGCTCCAGTTCTTAGGCCTGCTTTTTAATACCTTCCTGAGGTTGTACAGGGCTGAGATGATAAGTCTCTTTTCATGTATGGCATCTACTCTGCTAATGAGAAATCTGACAAACGGTTAGATACAAGTCTAAAGTAAGGATACACAGTTTCTGAGTAAGGGCCTAAGGACCACACAGGACCCGGCAGCAGCTATAAAAACTCTTGACTTTCACTCTGAGTGACATAAGAAGCATCAGAAGGTTCTGAGCAGAAGAGTGATGGGATGTTGACTCATCTTAACTGGATCACTCTAGCTGCTGGGTTGAGAACAGACAAGGTTAGAAGCAGAGAAATGACTCAGGAGTTTATTGAAATACTCCAGGCCAATGGTTAACAGTACAGATAGTGAGAAACTGTAGTTAGGAGACACAGTCAAAGCCAATAGGACTTGATCAAAGATTAGATAGAGACTCTGAAAAAGAAGAGTCAGGACCAACCCCCCAGAGTTGCCATTTATGGAGAGGAGGAGGCAGGGATACTGCTGAGCAGCAGGGTGAGGTGTGGAAGGGCTATCAGGAATTTGGCTAGGAGCATGTTAAGTTTGATATATCCATTAGACAGTCAGGGGGAGATGGCAAAGAGACAACAAACAGGGGTCTGGTGCCTGGAAAGAGAGTGGCCTAAAGATACAAATTACGGAGAGGTCCACGAATGGAGGACAATTAAAGCCACATAATGGATGAGATCACCTAAGGAGCGTGGATGGGGAAGAGTTCCATGCAGTGAGATCAAACACTCCAATATGTAGAGGGGAGCAGCAGAAGGCAGATCCAGCAAGAGGAGTGACAGGAGTGGTCAGGGAGGGAAGCAAAAACCTCGAGAAAGGAAAACACATTTTTCAAGAAGGAAGAGAGGTGGGGTACACATATGTCTGTATCTTCCTCTCAATGTTGCTGTGGCCCTAAAACTGCTCTAAAAAAAGTCAGTCTGCTAAAAAAAAGCAGGGAGTCAGGCAAAACTAATCTATGATGACAGAAATCAAGTTCAAAAGGGTTCATAAGGGAACTTTCTGGGGTGATGGAAATGTTCTAGATCTTATACTGAGTGGTAGTTATTTGGGTATATGTAACTGTCAAAACAAATGTAATTGAACACTTCAGATCTGTGCATTTTATTGTATGTAAATCTACAAAGAGGAATGAGAGAAAAATCCAGAAGGAACTATGCGAATAGAGAAGATCTCAGAGCAGAATTGGGAAGGAGGTGGGAATGGTGGGAAAAGAGACTGAAGAAGTAAACAGTGGCCAGACCAAGGAGAACCTTATAAATATGGTTAAGACGTTAGATTTTGCTCTTAAGAGCACAGGGCAGAGGTTGAAGAATTTTAATCATGGGAGCAACACGATCATAGTTGTGTACTTAAACTGATGGTAAAATAAAATAAAACTGATGGCTCTGGCTACAGAGCAGAGAACAGGGGGGAGTGAGACAAGTCAGCAGCCTAGGAAGTAAGAGAGAACAATGGTTCCAACTTGGAGAATAGCGGGAAGTTTCAGATCTAAGTGTACTTAGTAGGCAGGATCCTAAGACGTGATGGTGGATTGGACACGAGAGGGCCAGGAAGAGGAATTGTTATTCCTGATTCAGAAGCCTGGGACAGTGGTTCTGGTTCCTTCACAACTGTGCAAATTCAAGCAAGATATATATAAATCCTTCAGGCTTATCCCTCAGGTCTTCGGAGAAGCAGTCAGTCTGTAGTTAAGAATGAAAACTAAAATCCGACCGCCAGAGTCCAAAATCCAGATCAGCCACTTAACAGCTTTCTGACACTGGATTAATTACGTAACCTCTCTGGGCCTCAAAAATCTTCATTGGCAAAATAGGGTGAAAATAGTACTTATTTCAGAGAATTAAATAATACAATGCACGTTAGGCTTAGACAGAGCCTGTCACATAGCAAGTGGTCAGTAAATGCTGGCTCTTAACTCTTCCAAGAGTTAAAATAAAAAAAATCCAGTATTGCCTGATGATCATCAGTGTACTGCAAAGCACTCATGGATTAAATCTGATGGACTAATCATATTGGACCTCACTAATCTGCCAAATAATTATAAAGAAATTCTTATAATCCAGTAGATTCACAGATCATGTCACTCTCCTGCTTAAACCCTTCAATAGCATCTCATCGCTCCTTCGGAGGTCTATGGAAGATCAAAACCGTCCCTAGTCAGGACCCTCAACTACCCCTTTCTCATCTCTGTCCCTCCGCTTCTCCTCACTCTAGGTCTACCGGATTGCAATTCCTGAAAAACAGAGGGTCTGACAATCTTACCTACAGCAGTGCTCAAGTGTCCTGTTCCTCTACTTGAAAGTTCTCCCTGGACAATTTCTCCACTTCCCCCGTTCCATGCCAATAAAGACTAAGGCCCAGAGGGGTTGTATGTGCCTTTCCAGAAAGAATTATGTCCACAGCTGAACTTCATTATTCATTAGGGAGCTCACGGGTGGGCACACTTCTGATTATCTGATGAAAGGTATGGGGCTACTCCCCAAAATAGATTTTTTTTTTAAACTCAGAAGATATTGATTAAATGTTCAGGGCGTTTAAAATACTCCTGCAGCCCAAACTTGGATGGTTAAAAGGATTACTGGCCCGGAATTCAGAGGATGTGGTTTCACCGCCACGGGCAAATGTGGGACCTCACGAAAGCATCCTCTCTAACCCCGCGGAGATGCACTACGTGCCCCCAGGTGGGTGCGAGGACCAATCGTGCCCCGACACACACGAACACCGAAGGGGCCCCCAGCCCAGAACAGCCAGTGCGCGGGGCTGCTCCGCCCGCCCACCTTCAGCTGAGCGCTACTCGGCCGGAGCTAGACCCCTCCACGTGCACCGGGCAGCCCGCTCCGGAAGAGACCCACTCCGGCGCCGTGAGCATGCGCAGAGCTGTCCCCCCTCCCCCGCCACGAGAGCTTTCGGGGCAACGCCTCCTGCGGACGCTCGCGACCCCTTCCGCTCCCCGCCGGCTGTTCTCACCTCTACAGTGGGGATGGGCGCAGCCAGTTGCTCCGGGCTCAGGTTCCCAAACTCTTCCGCAAGCACGTCCATGGTGCGCTGCCCACGACGAAGGCAGAAACAAGGAGAATCCCCACGCCCGCTTGCGCTGCCCCCAAGTAAACTGCAGCACCCGCGAGGAGCGGTGCGCGGAGGCCTAAATGGTCCCCGCCGCTCAGGTTAATTGGTGGTGTGACAGAAACGTTCCGCCTGCTCCCGGCCCGAACCTGCGGTGGAACCCGGATGTGGCTGGGGCAAAGCTGGGAAACTTCGCCCCCTGCTGTCGCTTGGAGGTCTCTGCCGGCTAATCTTAACCGGCGGACAGGTTTAGTGCCAATTATTCCATAATTGAGACCAGTAAAGCGTATTGGTTGTAATTTTTTAAATAAGTCAAAGAAAAGGGTAAACGGATAATTTGCGCAACTTGCGCCACCGAGGCAGAGGATTCGTTTAATCCAAACCCAAACTACACATTGTAGAGTATGGAAAAATAGGAAACTTAAATGCTTAGTAGTAGGGAATTGGTTAAAAAAATTATGGTACCTATGTGTGATGGAATATTATTCAACCATCAAAATGACCTAAATTGAGGAGGGATTAACTCACTAGAGAGTAGAGCAAACAGGACAGTAATTAAGACAATGTTATATTCTCAAAGGACTGGAGAAAAGATCCGGGAATAAATACCAGGATGTAGAGAAATTTAATATGAAAATATATTTTAAATCAGGCAAAGACGGGTTATCCAATAAATGATACTGGAAGAGCTGATTAGCCATTTAGAAAAAAATCTAAGTAAATCCTTTATGGCTTATGTATTTAAATGTTAAAACTTTAAAAGAAAATGTAAGTTGAGTATGTTCGTAAGATTGAGATTGTGAAAGTCTTCAAGGACAGCAACACAGAAAACCTAAAGGGAAATATTCATAGATTTGGTAATATAATTGTAACCATAGTTTTAGGATTCCATGAAAATGTAAAATTTTCTGAACAGGTTTTTTAAAAGATTTTATTTACTTGAGAGAGAGAAAGAGTGAGCGCAAGCAGGAGAGAGGCAGAGGGAGAAGCAGTCTCCCCATTTAGCAAGGACCCCGACATTGGGGCTTGATCCCAGGACCCCAGGATCATGACCTGAGCCAAAGGCAGTCACTTAACCGACTGAGCCGTGCAGGCACCCTTTCTGAACAGATTTTTTAAATTCACCGTGAATAGAGTTCTTTAAAAACACAAGTTGTTAGAAAACAAAGTATTGGATTGGTAGCCCTATTTTAAAATGAACTCATACAGATCAATAGGAAAAACTCCCATTGGAAGAAAACAGGGCTAAAGATACCAGCAACTGTTTAACTGGTACACAGTTTCCATTTGGGAAGATGCAAAATTTGTGGAATTGGCAGTGGTGAGGATTGCACAACAGAGTGAATGTGCTTAAGGCCACTGAACTGCATGCTCCAAAATGGTTATAATGGTAAATTTTCTGTATATTTTGCCATAGTAAGTTATGAAAATTTGTAAATATACATTTGCCATTTTCTCGTTGTGAATGTATAACCCTTGCCTGCTGTTCGTTTAATTTCTGAATTAGCAATTCTTAGGAGATACAGGCACTGAAATTTACTTGAAGTAGCTAATTAAAAGAATCTTAATCCTGTGCTTGAAGATCTTACAGTTTACTTAAAGAGACACTTTCACTTTTGTATCATCCTTGTGAATTACCGGAGAGCAGCCTATTTAGAATCTAGCATGGAAGGGATTGTGAGGTGATTTTTAGATGGCAGAGTTCTCAAGTTTGGCCCAGATGTGTTGGCTTACTGCTCCAAAGTCCTCTTGGCTTTCCACGCTCAAAGTGGTTCTCCAATTTTAGCGTCTGAATCAGCTGGAGAACTTAAAACAACCTCAATTTTCATATTAGGCAGGTTTGGGCTGGGGCCTGTAAATTTGTAGTTCCAATAAGTTCCCAGGTGTTGCTGATGCTGCTGGCCCAGTGATCACACTTTGGGAATCACTGTCCAACATAAGACATATCGCTGGATACCATATCCTCTGTTTATGCATCTGGCTCTTCTTCAGACCCGGAGCTCCTGGAACAGGAACTATCTCCTTTGTCTTTGCATTCCCAGGTTCTAACCCATGTTTGTTCCTGAATAAATTTTTGTTGAATAAGTAATTTGAAAGAAAATAATGCAGTGAGTATTAATAAATTTGATATTTCTTGTTTTAAAAAACTTGTTTTTTGTTTTTTTTTTTTAGTTTGTCTTGAGAAGAGATGGATCGTAGCAGGGGTCCCAGAATCCTGCATGGGAACAATTAGCTGGCGCTGAGTGGTGTCAGGGCCCTTAGACCCCAGTTGCCATGATCCTTGCAACCCTTCCCTTGTTGCACCTGCCTCCCCCCTCCCGCCGCCTCTGCCAGGTATTGGCATTTGCCCCCAGGTCAACCCATGACTTCTTTCTGATGCCCTAAGGAACTGAATTTTTTTTTTAAATATTTATTTATTCATTTGAGAGAGCGAGAATGAGAGAGAGTACATGAGAGGGGAGAGGGTCAGAGGGAGAAGCAGGCTCCTCGCCGAGCAGGGAGCCCGATGCGGGACTCGATCCAGGGACTCCAGGATCATGAGCTGAGCCGAAGGCAGTCGCTCAACCAACTAAGCCACCTAGGCGCCCAGTCTTCAAATTTCTTAAGCATAGAAATAACCAACAATCTTCAATATAAACTCAAAATTGCCCTAAGTTTTCTAACAAATCAGGGACGATGGTAGACTAGGATTAAGTTTCCTAAGTATGCCATACTGAACAAAACCCTTAAATATTATCATATAACCTTTTTTTGCACACAATTCAGAATAAGGTAAAGTGAGACTTCATTTTACTTTTACAATATAAACAAGAACAAGCAATATATTTGACTTACGTAACATTTTGTTACAGTCTAACAAAGTCATGTCCTTTGTGAACCTCTTTCCAAAACCTTCTGTGATTCTCTATCAATGCAACTTTAGAGGAATAGATGAAAACAACTACAAATTAATTGAATCTTTACAAAATAAACTGCCTGGAACTAGGTACAGAGATAAAATTTTTAAAAATTTAAATGAAAGACTTTTGGGTTTTGCCCCTTTACTACATTTAAAACAGCCTGAAGTCACCTGGGTGGCTCAGTCGTTAAGCGTCTGCCTTCGGCTCAGGTCGTGGTCCCAGGGTCCTGGGATTGAGCCCCACATCGGGCTCGCTGCTCAGCGGGAAGCCTGCTTCTCCCTCTCCCACTCCCCCTGCTTGTGTTCCCTCTCTCGCTGTATCTCTCTGTCAAATAAATAAATCTTTAAAAAAAAACAAACAGCCTGAAGTGAGCTACTTGAATTTCTTGTGACCAGCTAAACAAGTAGCTTTGTAAGATTATTCTTGAGTTTCTAAGCATAGCAAAAGAAACCAGTGAGCAAAGAGACAGAGAAAAGTCTGACAAAACATAACAATAAATCACATCTTGGAGTGTTAAAGTTTTAAACCCTAAATAAGAGAGGAAACAGTACATCTTTTAGAAATAGAGACTAAAAGAATAAAGTTGGAGCCAAATTTCTAGATATTCTGTGAACTTTTTAATTTTTTTTTTTCTCTTAGAGAGTGCACAGGTGTGAGCCAGTTGGGCAGGGGCAGAAGGCGGGTAGAGAGAGAGAGAGAGAGACAATCTTAAGCAGAGTCTTCGCTGAGGGTAGAGCCCAACGCAGGACTCAATCTCATCACCCGGAGATCACGACCTGAGCTGAAGCTGAAATCAAGAGTCAGAGGCCTAACTGCACCACCCAGGAGCCCCATGTTCTGTGAACAGTTTTATCCAAGTTCATTATAAAGCGGAAAGGCTGGTATTGTTTTTGAGAATTAAAGCAACAGCAATAGCAAGAGCAAAAGAAAGGCCCAAAAAGGGCAAGAGGTGGGGGCGCGAAAATCTAAGGAATCACACATACCTGGATCTAAAGGACATTCGTTCAGTTTAGCAAATTCTGCTGGCGTCTTCCCCGTAAGAACACAGTTTGAACTACGCAGCATTATGGGCATTCTGTTGAAAGAAAAAAAAAAAAAAGAAAAGAATTATATAAAGATGGTCACTGGCAAAAGAGGTGAAAAGAGGAGGAAACGTGCCCTGTACACATCACCAAGGGGTCTGCATTCCTCTTGGACATTTTTATTCATTTTTTAAAGATTTTATTTATTTGACAGAGAGAGACACAGCGAGAGGGAACACAAGCAGGGGGAGTGGGGGAGGGAGAGGCAGGCTTCCCGCCGAACACGGAGCCTGATGCAGGGCTCGATCCCAGGACCCTGAGATCACGACCTGAGCCGAAGGCAGACGCTTAACGATTGAGCCACCCAGGCGCCCCTCTCAGGCAGACAAGTGGCAGTTACATTAAGAGCCAAGTGAAATGAAGCACTTCCTTAGGTACACGGCTCTTCTAGTTCAGAGAATAAAAACTCAAATGTTTGTTTCCTTAAACTTTGCAGACAGACTTTGGTAATAATCAGAAATTGCAGCAACTCTTCACCCATGGTAAGCAAAGGGACTGCCATTCAGTATGAAGAAATACCACAATGAACAAAGTGTGAGGAACAGAGACTATCAAGACTTACCAGGCAATTTTAAGAACTAAGGAAAACTACATGTGAAAAATACTAATTTAAAAATCTATGAATAGGCTGAATAATAGATTTGCCCCTGGATGCAGACAGAATTATTGAGCTGTAAAAGAAAACTGAAAAAACTGTTGAGACTGTATGTCAGAAAGACAAAGAGAAGGAATGTATGACAAAGTTTAAGAGACATGGAAAAGACAGAGTGAAAAGGTCTCATATTCATCTAATCAGATTCTAGATGGAAAAAATACAACCGGCAAGGAGTTCTATTCAAAAAGATGGTGGCCGTGGACTTTCAAAAATGTAGGAAAGCCATAAACCCACACATATCTAATCCACGCATATCCAATCATATCTACACAGAATAAATAAAAAGAAAGCCACCTCAAAACACACCATAGTCAAGATACAATCATCGAAGACAAAGAGAAGATTTAAAACCCAGAGAGAAGAACAGGCCACTTACCAAACAGGGAGGGATGACTAGACAGACAGGGGCCCACCTGCAATGAAGGAGGGATGGGCGAGGTGGGGGGGGGGCAGTGCAAAGTGCGGAGAGAGAACTAGCACCTAAATGGTGCGTTCTGTTAGGGCATCATCCA